AATCCAAGCAGAATCTGATTCCTGTGGATACATCTTTCCAGATGCCCTGTGTTCTTGTGGCAACCTCTACTTCCCCACCTTGCCCCAGCAGCCATTCTGAAAAGGAAAATCTTTGAGAATCTTGGCACTTGGTGAAGGCAAGAAAAACCAGGAACCACCTTGACAAACACATATTAGAATTCTGAGGCATTTTTTAAACAACGTGATTGTAAAGTCTGAGCTGAGAATCATCAGACTGGGGGGAAGCCTGGCTTCAAAGTGTCCTCCTAGTCTGGGTCATCTGTGAGGACCATGTTCTTTCAGCCTAGCATTTCACGTATGTGGAAGAACTTGGGGGTTTTAGGTCAAAATTACTTCATATGAGGCTTGGGATCCTTTTCATTTACTTGCCAATCTGCCCCTCAGTTCTCACACTCCCTAGTTGTGTGGCCTGGGCCTAGTTAGTTACTTCACTTCTCTCTGCTGCCATCCCTTGTATCTTTAGTCACCTTGCTATGAGAAAAACCCAGTTAAGCAGTGTGGGTTTAGAAATCAGAACAGGCTGCTCAAGAGAGATGGTGTGTTGCATGTTTACTGTGTAAGACACGGTTCTGTGTGTTTCCAGCATATGGATTCATTTCATCTATTTTAGAGGTGGGTTCTATCCCTATAACAGATTTAATGGTGAGGAAACAGAAACAGTTAAAAGATTTAAGTCCCAATATCAGGAATGTAGATTTTATGCTGGTGATTATTTCGTAATCATTCCTCCCTTTGAAAGGAAAGTCAGAAAAATGGAAACAAAAACAATAAAATCAATATGCAGTGTGTGAACTTTATCCACATACTAGAAAGTTTCTGATGCCATACTAAACTCTTAAGAGTTTAAGGTAAGGAGGGTTGATTTGCCCCAGATCTACATAAAGAGGTAAATCTTTACAAAGCATTAGCACAGTGAAACAAGGAAGAAAAAAACAGGCCAATAGCTGCTTGATTTAGGTGTGGTAAATGAAACAAAGCAACTTGGTATGGTAGGAGATGGCTTTCTAAGGTCTATAGACTTGATAAACTGACTTATTATGCTAAATAAGGAAAAGAGATTGGGAAGACTAGGTTTGAATTCTCCTCTGGACTCCAATAACAAAACTTTTTATTTGATTAGTATTGAATGATAACATTTAGTAGTGAATGATACTTTGCTCACCAGAATGTTTTAATATTGGCAAAACCTCCATAAAGTAAAGGACCCCATCTTGTTAAATTGTAGATAATCAGCATAGATCCTCTTCCACCTTAATTAATACAGGGACACTGAGTAAATGTTGAGCTCTGTGAATCCCTGGCTAGGCAGTCAGGAAGCCCTTTGTCCTACAAAGTCAGCTTCTCACCAGGAAGACATTAAATACACATCAGACTTAAGCTGCCAAAAAAACACATTTGTTTTCCAATAGAAAGTGCCTTCTAATTATTTTGCATTGAGGAGCTCTTTGGGGTGCTTCAAAGAAACACAAAATGCCAGTTCATCACTTATTACCTAAGGGGAACAGTAAGATCCTTCCCTCAAGCAAAGGACACCCCTCACAGCTATGTCCTAATTCCCCATTTCCAACAAACTTCTTTACTTTGTAGTTTGAAATGTCACTATTTCTACCTGAAAGCCCTGGTTACTTCAGGAGGAAATTCTCTAGTTGACAACAAACTCTGCATAGTTTCAGATGGATTCCAGCCCTTGACCTGGTCTCCATCCAGCTTCCCTCAAGGGTCCTGTGGAAACTAATTTGGGCCAAGTTCGTGAGAATGCTATACACGGGACTCCCAGTTGCTGAAGGTACCTAACACCAGAGACAAATGTTCATCTCAGATTTACCTGAGCTTTAAGGGTGTATAGAATCACCTGGGTGCATAAGTTACTGCATCCTAAACTAAGTTGTAATAGACTTTTAAATATTGAAATAATGTATGTATCAATAAACTTTCCTTTACTCTGTCATTATTGCTTATTTTGTTTTTCTGTATCATTTGAATTCTTTTCTATAGGTATGAAGTTTCACAACTAGTTGTAAAATATATATGTATTTTACAGTTGGATTTAGGTTGACCTCTAAAGGATTGTCATGTGTTGATCCTAAGTTGTAATTATAAATGTACATGTTCCTATTAAGTATAATACATTTGTATTAGAAAATTATTAGGAATGCAATTAAGAAAACTAAGAGTTCACAAATAGCCAGAGGATTCTCTCCTCTTTAGTTTAACCCAATACCTTAATATTGTACCAACCAAGTAAGAGGAATTTCATGAGGAAATCTAAGGGACAGAAATCTCTTCTATTTATACCTAGAAAGGTATTGTTAACAAACATAAATCTATTTTAAAAAATAATAAGGGTAACCATTTTACCTCCATAAGGAACTGGAATATGGCATGTAAATTTCAAAATAAAATGTACTAGCAGGCAATGAATTAGTGTAGTCATATTTTTTGTTAAATCAGACCTTAATTGGACTTAATTGTATTTATTGTTGTTGTAGTTTGGGCAGGGTGAGAAAACACATTTCTCAGGATTTAGAACCCATGTGCATTGCTTATAGTTGAAGCTCTTTCTGAGAAATAAGTGTGCTGAGCTCCATGATCTACACTGCGTCTGCTGCTAGTTCGGGCTTTTACCAAATACTTCACTATTTGTTTTAGTCTGTTCAGACAGCTATAGCAAAATGATGCAGATTGGATAGCTTACACAATGTAAATATATTTTCTCACAGCTTCTAGGGTGTGGAAGTTCAAGACTAAGATGCTGCATGGTTGGTTTCCCATGAGGCTCTATTCCTGGCATCTAGGTGGCTGGCATCTCCCAGTGCTCACCTGCCTTTCCTCAATGAGGGAATGAGTGAGGGCTCTCATGACTCTTATTACAAGGGCATAAACTCTACAGAATTTGGACTCCATCCTAACCACTTTCTTTACCCCTGATAACTTTCTTTTTCTTTTTTTCTTTTTGGTACCGGGGATTGAACTCAGGTCCTTGCGCTTGCGAGGCAGGCCACCGAACAGCTGCGCTAAATCCCCGGCCCTACCCCTGATAACTTTCTAAAGGACCTGCCTCCAAATAGCTGTCACATTGGGGTTTAGAGCTTCAACATATGAATTAGGGGAGCACAAGTCAGCCTGTAGCATATCCTCCCAGAGCAAAGAAATGCATGTCTGTCTCATGCAAAGTGCATTCATTTCATCCCAACAGATCCCAAAATTTTATCCCATTCCAGCATCACTTCTATAGTCCAGAGTATCATATGTATCATCTAGTATACAAGTGAAGCTCATGGTACAATTCATCCTGAGTGAAAATTTCTTTCTAGCTGTGAACCTCTAAAATAAGACATGTTTTATGCTTCTAAAATACAATTATGGAATAGACCTTGTCTAAATCTTTCCATCCCAAAGGGACAGATAATAAGTAAAAGATGATGGATCCTTCGTAAGTCCATGAACTGGTGGACAAAGCCCATTAGCTCTTTTATCTAGATAATAAGCCTCCTTGGTCCAATATCCTGTCATTGAGGCCTACTAGGTGGCAGTGGCACCCATGGCTCTTTGTGCATCCTGCCTCTTCTTTGCTGACCCTGCTCCTCTGGTTTGCAGTGCGTGCTCCTGAGCAGCTCCTTAGGAACTGGCCCCTGTATGGCTCTGCAGGGTAGAGGTAGAGCAGCTTTCCTCCAATCCTACCCCTCCACCCTGTCTGCCCGCTCAGAGCCTGAGGTGGAAGTGAAAGGCCCAATGGTCTCTACATTGCCTTTGAATCCCTTCTTCCCTTCTTCTTAAGGATAGTACACATTCATAGCTGGAAAGCTGTAGTCTTATCCTCTAGAATTGAAACAGCCTGACAACCCTCCTTCCTTCCTTCCTTCCTTCTTGCCTTCCTTCCATGTTTAGCTTAAAGTAGCAGTGTCTCTGCTGGCATCTCATCTTTCTTTTGAGCTTCTGCTGAGATGGCTGATTAAATCCCTAATCCCACCCAGGATGTTTCTATTAAATGGTTACTAAACTGTACCTCTTTAAGAACAGCTTTCTCAATATAGATGAGGTATAGATATCTCATCTATATTGAGAAGATAGATAAGATAGATATAGCTAATAGATATTATAGATGTATTATATAGATATATATATATAATATAGATAAGATAGATAATATAGATAAGCTGACAGTTTTCTGAATCTCCAAGCTGTAGTTCCTTTTATTTTAACAATTCCTCATTCTCCTCTTTCCTCTAGCATTTTACTATAAGAAATAAATGGAAGCCAAACTACACTTTCCAAACTCTGCATGGAAATCTTCTCTCTGAACATCCATTTTATTGCTTGTAAGTTCTGTCTTCCATAAAGCAATAGAATACAGATCAGCCAAGTTTGTGCCACTTGTTAGCAAGAATATCTTTCCTTTAGTTTCTGACAACCTGTGCCTCACTTCCAAAACCTCATAAGAATGGTCTTTAATGCTCATACTTGAACCAACATTTTGTTCATGAATAGTGATATATTCTCTAAGGATATGGAAGCTTTCTTTCCAGCACTCTTCTTTCCTTTGTTAGCCATCACCAGAACTGCCTTTCACATTTATCAACAGTCCCTTCACAGCCCCTTCACAGCAAATGACTTTTTCTAGCCTGAACCTCAAGACTCAGCCTTTACCTTTAACCCAGTTCAAAAGACACTTCCAGGGATCTAGGTGTTTGTTGTGGCTGTACCCCATTTTGTTGGCAGCCAATCCGTCAGTCAGCTTGGGCTGACATAGCAAAATACCAGACTGGGAAGCTTAAACAACAGAAATGCGTTTCCTCCCCATTCTAGAGGCAGTCAGTGCCCACATGGTCAGTTTTCTGTTGGGTTCTCTTCCTAGTTTACGATTTATCCCCTAGGTCCCAAGCAGATGAACATGTTTGTGCTCTTTTTTATGTGATACCTTGAGCTGAAAATATAAGGCTTTGACTTTATGCCGTAGCAAGTAGTCCTTACATTAAATATCTTCCTCAAAGTGATCAGGCTGATGTGTGCTCTAAATTTTGGAAATCTAGAGCTCTGTTCAGGTCCCTGCTTTTTCTTCTATCTCCTTGATGACTTCATGAATTTTGCATTTTCAAAGACCATCTAAACATCAGTAAACCTCCAATTTAACATCTTCAGTCCTGACTTCCTCCCTGAAATGCAACTATTCATCTATAAATATTTACTTGATACCTTCACTTGGAACTCAGGCCTCTGAACAATACAGTGGTACTATAGTGTTCCCTAAGCCAGTTATCTCTTCCTGTCCACCTCAAATCAGGCAACAAACCTAAGTCCCCTTGCTCAACTCCAGATTGGAGGAGTGAGACTTGCTGCTATTCATCCACCTCCACAAACCCTAAACATCCACTAGTCACCTACCCCTTCCTCACATTAAAGCTCCACCCTTCTTATGACCTGAGGACTCACACGTAACCACCTCTGGCCTCCATTCCAGGCAAGGTGATCTCTCTTCCCCCTACACAGCTAAGCTCCACTGCTTTCTCATATTTGAAATGTTGGGATCAATCTCTGATCCTCTGACTTTTCTTCGGTAGTTCATTTTCACCCTTCAGATCTCAGAGCTTCGTTAGACAATACTATTTAAATGGACTTACCTGGAACAATTAATTATCTAAGAAGATGAACCTCCTCCAAAGAAAAAAAGCCAAATTTGGGGCCTGGTAGAACAAGCCTGTAATCTCAGGACTGAGGGAAGCTGAAGCAGGAGAATCACAAGTCCACATCCCACTTGGGCAACTAAGTGAAACTAAGTCTCAAACTAAAAAACAAAGCAAAGCAAAAGTATAAGCTATAATTATCAGATGACATTTTAAGAGGACTTTTGTGTACCTCAGTGTGTATGTGTATTTTGGGGGAGGGATGTCATTATTGAGCAAGGAGGAAACTTAAAAATATATATTGCAGTGATTGTCTATCAGCACTCAGGAGGCTGAGGCAGGAGGATCCCAAGCTCGGGGCCAGCCTATACTACATAACAAGATCCTGTTAAAAAAAAAAACAAAAAAAGGTATACAGACCATGTAAGTGAAAGAGATTTAATACACAATACGTGTAAATAAAATGTACAATAAATTGAGATAAAAGATTGACAAAATAATGCATATGATGTTAATGATCTCACTCAACAACTGCAAAAAGTTAGAAAAAGGCAAACAATGTACCATGAAAAAGGATTAATTGGACTATTTTATATCCTTTATTAAATTCAAATGGCCAATACATTTGGAGAAAAAAACTGCTAGTACTTAAAGTATGCACATTATAGCAACAAAAGAATAGCATTTCTCCCCTACAGATAGAGCCACTAAAACTAGTAGATCTGTACTATTGAGAGCAAGGAAGACCTGCTGCTCTCACAGAGTCTTCAAGAAGTTTCCCCCAGCGACATTTCTGAAACTTCATTATAGACACTTGGGAAAGAAGGTGTCTTATCAACTAACAATAAATGCACAACTAGATAAAGTTTTATGTCTGAGAACTGTTTTCAGCACTGTAATGAACAAATCTAAATATGGTTGTAAATCCCCTAAATAACGTAAGAACACTTTGCTTAAACTACAGGACATCTAAACTTAAACTACAGGATTCTGGAGTATTTATGTGGCTCCAAAAAAATAGTAAGGCAGTGAGATAGAGTCATACACAACTGATGAAAATAAATAAAGGTTAAAAAAATTTGGAAGAAAAGCCTTCATGCTATTTACCCCAAGGAGATAAAAATGGATGAAATGTGGAAAGATTATTAACTTATACAGAAATTTGTTTGCCAAAGTTAAAATGATCATGTATTGACCTTGTAACTTAAACCATAAAAAGAGAAAAACTAAGTTCTGTCTTTCCACTTTTTACCCCTAAT